CTGCCCGGTCGTGCACCACTCCCACTAGCGGCTTGAACCAGTCGCAACGGAGCTGATTCAGCCGCATGGCTCCCTGTCATATGTCAGAGTGTAACCTGGCCCCGTAAGGTTCCTAAAGGGTGATTTTTTCAGGCTTTTCACGAGGCATCTCTTCATGGACTGACACCTCCAACCTTTTCTTTGATGAGCAGCTGACCATGTTAACAGTTCCCACCGCCCAGGACATCCTCCGTGTCCAGCAGTGGTTCACGAATTTCAAGAGGGTGGCCAAGACACCCAATTTGGGTTGTAGGTCCTCAGTGCAATCAGCAAGTGACAATGGCTAGCAGTGAAGGCAGACCTAGGAATAGATCGGGCTGGCTGGTACATGGTCATCTTACCTGCACTTCTGGTTTTTACCTCCTTGGGGAAAGGTGGGCGGCCAGGTAGGGCCAGGCCCATGGTGCTGCAAGGGGCTGGTATGGGAGCCAGGTTTCATGGGATGTCCCCAAGGATGCGAGGACTGGCCCTGATGGGTGAGCCTCCCACGCCGAGGGGTTACTCTCGGCTGTCATGTTACCTCTCACCTGTATCTGTTTGTTGAAGAACAAGGTGATGGTTTTAGTACTGCTTTTTGGCAATTATGTTCACGTAAATGAACACCTCCAGCCCTATATATATCTCTGAGCACCACTTGTGTTTATCTAACTGTCTGGTCTAGGGTATTCTGAAATTTCACAGTCGGACATACAACTCTACTTTCGCCGTACTGGTCTAAACTACTCCTCTGTCAAACTTATGCATTTCAATAAATGGCATCACCCAGTGGTTGCTTAATCACCCCCCGACCCCCCAAAAAAGATGGTGACCAATCCCAAACCATTCATGTTGAGATATCTGACTCCTGGCACCCCCATGTGTGTGAGCCTGGAACTGCCCCCCTATAAGGTTTTCAGTGCCCAATTTCTCACAAGTACGTCACCAGGAATTCCTTCCGAGCTGCCTCTGAGTGGATTCCAGCCTCCAATCTTTTGGTGAGCAGATGTGCAACTTCACCCTTTGAATCTCCCAGGAGCTCCTGCTGGAGAGTTAGCTTGTCTTAAAAACAGACTTCTTAAGTGGTGCCCTTCCTTTCCTAGCTCCTTGTATGGGACAGAAGCTAACCACATATTTTAATTTTGGTTGAGATCAGTTAGAATGGGCAATTTAGTAAAGGGAGCAAGAAGAGTTATACAAGACAAGCTTCCAAGGTTTTGTTTATACATGAACAAAACCAAAAAACCAAGCTCAATGCCATCAAGTCCATTTCAGACTCATACGGACCCCCATTGGGTCTCCAAGGCTGTCAGTCTTTAGGGGAGCAAAGCCCAAACCACACCCACTGCCATGGAGTCCATTCTGACCCACAGCGCCCCTAGAGGACAAAGTGGAACTGCCCACAGGGTCTCCAAGGCTGTCAGTCTTCACAGAAGCAAA